TGAACGTATCAAAGCACTGAGGGTTCAATTTTTAAATTTCTGTGAAATTCTGTTAGCAGACAGTCCAACATGAGAACTGGGCATCTTCTGATGGTGCATGAGTGTGTTTGCAGTCCAGAAAGTGAAAAGTATCTGTATGAAATTTCCATGAAGAAACTCTCTTCTTTCTTCTGTATCCAGTAACTAATCTTTACCTTTTAATGCCCTACAGTATCTTTTTACTGCTTTCTACTTAGTAACAGAGTTAAGGTGTGTGCGATATCACAAGATCTGTTTACAAGTAGAATCTTTAGCTTTTAAACTGTGATTAACTTCTCTAAATCCATTTATGTAGTTTAACAGGTTTTTAAACCATTTCATTTCACTGGAAATATTTCAATGATGACAAGCATCACTTCACAGATCTGGGGATATGATTGGGTTTCCAATCTCTATGACCCTGCATGATCTGGATTGTCCATCCTAAAAATTATGCAAATTATGTTTGTTTGCTTTTTTTTTTTTTTTTAATAGCTAATGGTTTAAAAAGTATTAGTTGAAAAGACAGGAATATGTTTTTCTTTAACAGTACCTGGCTCCAAGTGCAGCTTCTCCATTTTCTGTTTGGGAAAATAAACACAGAATGAGGATTTTATAAAATGTATTTTGTAACACAGAATAATAGCAAACCCCCCCAAGTCCCAAGATTGAAAACTACACAAATTCAACTACTACATTTAGTACTTTTTTTTCACCATCCACTGGAAGAGAGTATTTTATACAGCTTATTTTTCTGGCACATTAAAGCCAAATCAAAGTATCAGCCACAACTGTGTTCTCATATCTAACTCAGAACGTTAAAGAGACCAATGTATCTTTGTGTATCACATCAACTGCAGAGTGAAAAACAAACCCAGCTACTACTTGATATAATCAGGAGGAGAAAGAGGAAATCAACAGTACAAGACCACTTTCACTTGTCACAAAAGTGAAGGAAGTCTTGATAGCCGACTGAAAAGTAGGGAAAAAAACATAGGGTGTTCTCATTTGACAGACTGTATTCTGAGCAAGACCACGTTTGTCTTGGATTCTGTTGCAGTTTCATATTATGGTCACGTTTCCTTTTTTGTAGTATGAGCACAGAGCGAATACTGGTAATAACAATTTGAAATACAGCTACATTTTCAATTTACCTTCATTTCAATTAAATCGGAAGAAGAGGCATCTAAATTGTTTTCAATTTCATCATAATCTTCCTAGAAGAGTAAAAAAGGAATTACAGCATTTCTTACAAAAAATAGTATTATCTTACGGAGAAATACTACTGCATTCAATTTTCCCGAGCAATAGTACAAGAAATATTTTCCAGTATTTGATAGATCTCAATCGCTACTTCAGATTGTGACCCAAGAATGAGGAACAACGTATAAATAAGTACCTTTCTACAGCTACCTTTCATTTTAAATTCAACATGACATTGTCGACTTCGAAGTCACTCTTTAGGGAGGACATTTATTTCACATTTCTGTGGTTACTGTACATAACATGTTTTTTCATTTTCACACTTCTTTTTTTTTTTTAATTACTTTAGTTTCTAACTGAAAAAAGAAGTTATAAATGAAGCTGACTTAGGTTTCCACTGCTCTAAAACCAAAACAGGTCTTCAAAAATCTTCCTTCCTCAGGAGCTGATGTTAAGACTCAACCAAAGCTCATCGGTTACATGATTCACAACAGCTCTAATTTACAGAACATCAGAAAATTGCCTTTCAGGTTAACTGGACGTTGTCACAATGTTTCTGATTTCAGAAGGGAAAAGATAAGAAGTTGAGACAGACACCACAGGCCTAAAATATAACAAAAAAAAGGAGGCAAGGAAGGGTAATACATTCAGTTTTGGGAGTGAACAGCCTAAAATAAAAAACACCACAAGGATCCAGGAAGGATAGGATTTGGGGAGCAAACGTAACATATAGGTTACCCTGTTCAGTCAGTACCAGGAGATTGTGCTGTCTGTAAAAGACATTGCAAGTCGCTCTTAAAACCAAGTCAAAAGTCTGGCAATGTCAGAACAGGGCAATACACAGTACATAAAGATTTTCTTGTTTTATTAAACTCCATGAGAAATCTCTACAACGTAAATTCTTTAAACCAGAGCATTATTTCTGCAGAAAAGATTTCCAAATTATCTGTGAGTTGAAAACATATTTCTCTCTCTCTCTCCCCATATATATAAATATCTAGATGGCTGGGTATATGCATATATACACTTAAACACATATAAATGGGAAGAGGGAATACTGAAACTAATACATTACTTTCAATTCCAGGCTTCTTTCATGGCAAGCAAGGATGTTACTGCAAGTTAAAGGCGGCTGTGACCCGTTTACTGTGAACATTTCAAGCCTCTGATAGGTCCAAGAACATCTACCACTTAAAGAGTAGTACATGAGAGCTGTTAATGCGAAATAGAATCCACATCACATTCATGTCCTATATTCTGTTACCCTGAAATAACTTGTTCATGTGCCCATATACTTATTAAATACCACCTGAAAATTTACAAAGACCTCTACTCACTTACCTCATTTTCTGTTAGCTGATCTGGAAGTTCTTTCATTTCTGCTTCAACATTGTCTTTATTATCAGACAAAGAATCAAGAATATTATCAGGACTATAGTCTTCTCCACAGTCTACAGCACTGCCATTATCTATTTCAGCTTCATCTAACACACTAATATCCATCATGTCAATATCTTGCAAGGTGTCCAGACTTGCTTCTATATCCTCCTACAGAAAGAAAAAGGGTAGATGTGTATTTATTGCAGGTTAAATGATGCACATTCTTAGTAACAGTAATCATGATCTCACTTACCTGCCCATCTCTAGAGTTTTCTTCTAGTCCATTGTCTTCAACACCTTCTTCTTCTGGTTTTCTTCCTAAAAATAGTATCACTGAAGTGAAATATAGCACTAAATTTCATAACATGTCTATTTTTCTCTGAATTATCTATTCAACACTGACTTTGTTTCAACAGGTAATCATTAAGACCCTGAATCAGCAGAACAGGTCTGTCTGGATATAACAGAGAATGACTTGTCACTCGATACAAGTGAGCAGCATGAGCGTGAACTAGAAGTAACACAGCTACATTTTTCAACAGCTACACTCCTCTCATTCCATACTTCAACACCTAAAAAGACAACACTGTCTAGGAAGGTGTTCCAGTTAAAAAAAACCCAAACCACCTTTCATTGTTACAAAACCCCTCCCTCTTAGCATTTAAATAATTAAAGTGATTTAGAAGTAGTCTTCACTATTAAGATCTTGGATACACAGGTCACATTTAGGCACATCCATCACCAGCAAACTTGTATCGCTATTCAAAAACAACTGCTCTTTCTGTATTTTTTCCCCATTATCTTAAAGGAGGCAGCTTAAAAGTAAGTTTCAGAAAATATCTTTTAAGAACTGGTTATGAGCAGTTAAAATAAACCATGTGTAACATGCCCCACACAGTATTTAATGTTTTTGAGGCAAAATATACTTCTATCACTAATGAAGTATTTCAGAAGTTTATTTTCAAAATGACAGTTACAAAAATAAATATGACACTAACAAAAATTATACACGTTTGTTATTTGTGCAACAATGGTTCTAATTATGCCCACTATAATTTCTTGCACCTAAAAATGTATCCCAATGATGATAGAGGTTCAAGGGCTTCTAAGACAAAAGAAAAATATATATAGTTACGGCAAGGAAATTAGTAGCCGGGGCATTCGGAAGCCACCTTAATATACATTAGCAGAGCATTCCACAGGACCTGATGCTGCAGCTGCCTGCTCTGTACCTGACACAATTCTGCACTCGTGGTCATGAGTACAGAAACACCTGCAACTTACGGTCTCATCTACATGTTTCAAGATGTGCTAACGGAAGTATGCTTAGGTGTCACATTATCATTTAAGCTTGTTACTGCTCACTAAAGCAACAGAGTTTTACCATTTTCCATAAGGGAAAAAGAAAAAGCACTTTTAAATTTAATTAAACTAATGAAACAGAAGGAATCAACATTGTATGCTAAGTTCTAGCTACATGGAAACAATGGAACTGCATTTGTTTACACTTCATACCTTTGCTAGTTCTTTTTGGCATTCTCTTGTTGGTCAGTTCAGAGGCCACAGGAATTTCATCAGGATCTCCTCCTTCATCCTCAATTGCCTATTGGAGATGGCAGAATAACATCTATTGTATTGTTTGTTGGTGTGCATTTGTACTGGTTTCGGATGGGATAGAGTTACATTTCTTCACAGGAGCTGGTACAGGGCTATGTTTTGGATCTGTGCTGAGAACAGTGTCGATAACATGGGGATGTTTTAGTTATTGCTGAGCAGTGCTTACAGAGTGTCAAGGCCTTTTCTGCTTCTCACACTGCTGGGGGGAGGAGGGCAAGTGAGCAGCTATGTGGTGCTTAGCTGCATGCCAGGGTTAAACGACACCAGCATTTTTAAGGATTGTCACATGGAAATATTAGTGTCTTACCCTAGTTCAGGTCATGCAGCCAGGCAGCCGTATCAGCCGTTAGAAACACTGAATACTAAGGTGTTGTAACACGACCCCACAGCCAAATCAAGCTACGATTGAGGAACACAGTTCCCCTCATCTGTAAACAAGGCTCCCTACTCAGCAGATAAGCGCTTTATCTGTATAAAACCGAGAATGACCACTACAGGAACTCAAGTGCATGCGAGTCAGGACTGACTACGCTGTTCCGGCTTCCTGTAAGTCCGTGAAAATACGTTCCGGAGAGGTGGGAGAGATGGAGTCAGGTGAAGTGCGTACAGGGGAAGCAAGAGAAGAGATACAGGAAAGGGGAGCGCATGTATATGCTGTGGGAACGGCAGAGGAAATCGGGGAAGGACGCGCGTACGTCAGGGACCGGGAACGAGGAAAAGACCGGGCCATCGCGGAGTGAATGAGAGCAGCACTCCAAAGGAACGGAGTGCCGGTGTGGGCGGCGGCGCGGGTGCCCACGCGCTGGAGAGCAAGCGGGCGGCGCGGGCCTCTGCTGGGAGGTTCGGGCGGTGGCAAGGAGCAGTGCAGCAGCGGCGCTGCTGGCGGTGCCTGCAAGGGCAACGGCTCTACAGCGGCCCAAGAAAAGCAGCACGCTGGTGCTAAAGGACACCCGGCGGTCCCCCGGA